TTGAATCCATAAATCACAGACTGATGGGAGGGAGGGGCTTCCAGAGACCATCTAGATCTGCCTTCTGTCTCTAGCACACACGCAAATCACGGCCTGCTGTGTATTTGTAGAACCCAGTGGGAGCAGAGGTATAATTTCTCTTGCTTTTTAAGTTCTCATGTCTCTTGATTCACACAGTTATATTCTTGAGTCTGTCCCAGATTTCTCTTGCCGTAGCTCAGGCCTCCCTGGCCCCAGTCAGCTGCTTCGCTGTCCTGGCCCGCGGTTTTGTAGACAAAACCACCCCGGTGCTAATAACGACTGTGTCCTGACCATGACAAGTCACTCCCCCCCTCCCCCCGCCCGTGCGGGTTTCACACACAGTCGTTGTGAAATGTGGCTTTGGGACTCGATGCTGTCTCTGGCACTCAGATTATTCTGCTTGGCTCTGAAATTCTGGTTCTGGGTTTCTCCTTATGTTGTTTCTCTGGCCCGTGGCCTTCTCTCCTATCAAAACCCAGCTCCGTCCCGCCCATCCCATGGCTGCCCACCCCAGCACTCCCCTGTGAGTTAGGAGCAGCGCCATATCGTTTATTCCTTATGTTGTTCATTTTACCAACCGTTCATTTTCACAATACAAACATTTCTAGATATTCATCATAGAAAATCCAGAAAATCTAGGTCAATGAGAAGAAAACAATAACGTCTCAAATATAACCACTGTTGCATTTTGGTATATTTCCTTCTAGTCTTTATTTTTTCATTAATATACTTATACACACATGGACCTGTGAGGTTCATCCTGTGTAGTTTGGTATCCTGCTTTCCACTTAATGTATAGTGAGCATTTTTATATATCTCTAACATTTGGAAACATAATTTTAAATATCTGTTTAAAACTTTACATCTCATACTTTATTTAGCCTTCGCATGGTTATTTTTGAATGAGAATAATACCTGTCCTGTCAAGCTCACTGAACTACCCAAATCAAGTGAGATAAAGTATACAAAGTTCTGCACAAATGTAGCAATGATTCATTGTTATGTTAGTTTTACCTCTCCAAGTGATCTACTTTATTGTATTGTCGCAAATTTGTTATACGTTTTCCTACTCACCAAATTTTGCTCAATGGTGGGCAAAACAAGCTGATTTTAATCTTTAAAAAGGAATGTACATACTAATAACTTCTAAATTGTTTTCTAGCAGTTTCTCAGATACTCTGGAAATTACTCAAAATATAGAAAGAGAATATGCACAAAGATGTTCATTATGGCATTATTTATAATAGCTCCAAAGTAGAAATCACTGAAATGTCCCATTATAAGGAAAGAAGTTTAAATCTACTCTCTGGGCTATTATAAAGATATTAAAATGATATTTTCAAAGTCTTTGTAATAAAATAGAAACTGTGTATGTCACCATCATTAGAAGAAGCAAAGATGAATGAAAAAAGTGAAAAGACAGGCATCAAGATGGGAATGATAGTTATACTATTTTAATATAGTAGTTTACTTTCTCTCTGCTTTTCTACAGTGAGCACATATACCTTGGATGGGTGATGATGGATGGATGCATGCATGCATGCATGCATGGATGATGGATGGATGGATGGATGGATGAATGGATGATGGATGGCAGATGGATGGATAGATGGATGGATGGATGATGGATGGATGGATGGATGGATGAATGGATGGTGCATGGATGGATAAGGGATGATGGATGGATGGATGGATGGTGGATGGATGGATGATGGATGGATGGATGATGCATGGTGGATGGATGGATGAATGGATCGTGGATAGATGGAGGAATAGATGGATGATGGATGAATGAGTGGATGGATGGATGGATGGTGGATGGATGGATGGTGGATGGATGGATGAATGGATGGTGCATGGATGGATGGATGGATGAGGGATGATGGATAGATAGATCAACCTTATTTTTTAAACTGTGGTAAATAATGTATACAACCCTGGCCAGGTGGCTCAGTTTCTGGGAGCGTCATCCTCACACCAAAGGGTTGCGTGTTTGATTCCTGCTCAGGGCACATACCTAGGTTGTAGGTTTGGTCCCAGTTGGGCCACATACAGGAGGCAACCGATCAGTGTTTCTCTCTTACACTGATATTCCTCTCTTGCTTTCTACCTTCCTCTCTCTCTAAAATCAGTAAACATATCCTCAGGTGAGGATTTAAGTTAAAAGGCTATACAGAAGAGGGGAGTATGGGGCACAGAACTGAGCTAAGACAAAGACTGACGCAGATGTGGGTTGCAGCCAAGACTGCTCTGGGACTTCTGGAAAGCACTCAGAACCACCAAAGGGGTCTTTTATTTTTGGAGCAGGAAAAACAGAGTAGAACCGGGCACCTCACTTGAACATGGTGATATAATTATAGAAGGAGAATCCAAATTGGTAGTTCCTCATTTGCTCTGTCTCCTGACTAGTGTGGGCAGGACCGGTTTGGTGAGGAGTATGAAAACCCAGTAGGGTTTTGGAGGAGCTATAGGTAACAAGAGCTGCAGGGGGACTGGCAACAGGCACACTCTGTCATAAGTTAAAGGAGAGAAAGACAGGTTTTGTGATGTGTAAATTTGGGTGAAAATGACATCAACCTCCAGCAAAGTTCCCTGATGGGTTTTAAAAAAATAATAATTTCAGACTTGTAGAAAAGTTGCAAAAGTCTAGCTAACATTTCACAATTACCCTTTATCCAGATTTCTCAAATGTTAATATTTTACTGTTTGCTTTTTTCTCTCTCTTGTAACACACTCACACAGTTTTCTGAACCATTTGAGAGTTGGCTGCCTGAGACTGGAGGTCTGTGGGGTGGAAGTATATGAACTGACCTCCCCGTGGCCGAAAGGGGAACACAGATTTGGATTAAGGAAGAATGTTGTGAAACTCCACAATGGAATGGGCTGTCCTGTAAGGGGGTGAGCACCCTGTCACTGGGGATGTTCAAAGATAGATTGCTTAATCTTTTATTAAGGAACTTACATGGAATAGGAAGTAGAGTGGTTGACCTTCGAGGTCTTAGAACTGCCTAAGCATAAAGCTAGGGACCGTCCCTCTCTACAGCCAAGTCTGGGGGTGGCCCAGGGCACTTATCACCAGTTCCAGATTAAGTCTAGACTTCCTATGCATCCTCTTCTTGTGCCCCCTCACAGTCCTACTTAGCCATCAGCATACTTGGGTACCCATGAAGCTTCCCTTGAGACACACGCCTACTGTGCTGGTTCTGAGCACTTCTGTTGCCCACAGGACCTTCCCTGTGACCTGTTACCTATCTTACCTGTGCCGCATGTGGTCTACATTGACTGTCCCAGCCAGATGTTAAGCTCCAGAACCAGCAAATGCTTAGTGAGCACTGTTAGTGTGCCTGCTATGTCCCTGGATGAGTTGCCAGCCTTGTGGCAATGAATAACGGGTAGTGGGACTGACCAAATAGTTGCAAGCATAAAAGCTTGGCTGCAGGCTGCTAAGGGGCTGGGCATCAGGAATGTGAAACAGGAGTGATTTAGGCTTGGCTGGGGAGGAGGTCTCTCTGCAAAAGTGCCCTTTCATCTGGGATCTGAAGGGAGACAAGCAGTTGGCAGAGGAGAAGAGGGTAGGGGCCGGGAGAGCATTCCCCTAATGGCTGCAGCCCAAACTGCGGCCAGCACAAGACAGGATGCCTGATAGGTGCTGCTTAGGGTGTGTGAGGAAGAGAAATGAGGACTGTCTGGCTGGGGGTTTTCCTGTCCCCTGCTCACCCAGTGCCTGTGCTTGACCAGAGGTGGGAGACCCAACGTTTGCAGGTCTGTGTGTACCTGGCGTGCGTGTATGTGTGCGTGCAACTGAGAGAAGCTCTGAGTGCCTTCTGAATCCAGTCCCAAGTGACACAGAAATTGTTGGTGCCATTATTCCCCTTTGTTGATGTAGATGATAGGAGAACAGGCCACGTTCCAAACACCTCGGCACCCCTGCAGTGACAACTCCTTTGAGAACACGTAGATACCTGTGATTTTCTTAATTACTCCTGTACACCCACATCTCTCTCTCTCTCTGCCTTAAGCAGGAGGGGGTATTGAGGGCAGGGTGCAGCCCTCCAGACCTCTGCTCCTTCTTTTCTGCCGTCATCTGTGTTTTCATAGCCTCCCGCTGCTCTCCCACCCACCGCCGCCCTTCCTTCCCTTCACACTGACTTAATCGAGGGAGTCTGAGGGAGGAGGCCAGTCTCCCTCAATCGCTTGTACCCAGCAATTAGTTTCCGTATTGCCAATTCAAGATAAGTAGAAAATAACAGAGGAATGAGCCAGGACTCAAAGCCCGTGCAAAGTGCTAGGCATGCAGTACCGTGACATTTGCATGTGTGCCACACAGGAAGACACCTGTCAAGCCAGGGGTGGGGTCTGCTGGCCGGGGAGTTGGAAGAGCTGGATTCCAGCCCTGCTGGCTGTGACGCCCTGACCACTGTCCATCCGTGGGCCTCAGTTTCATCTACGAAACGGAGAGGTGGTGCTAGGTTCTTCCGCCAGTTAGTGGAGAGCACAGGCTGCAGATGCATCACGGCCACCCTCCCGTCTGTGCAGCCGGCACAGCAGTAGTTAGCTGTCCCCATGTGCCTGGAAGAGATGGCTTCCAAGCCGTGACTCCAGGAGCAGCAGAGCACAGAGAATGCAGGTGGGAATGTCCAGAAAGAGGGGGCTGAGGAGGAAGGGAGGGCAGAAGATAGAAGAAAAGCAAAAGGAAGCCTGGAAGAGAGGTGACAAAGAGAAATAAACACATATGACATGATAGCTCAGTGGTTCCCCAGTGTGGCCCACGGACCTGAAGTATCACGCGGGAACTTGTTAGAAAAGCAAATTCAGCCCTGCTGACTCCGGAACTCGGAAATGGGGCCCATTTTACAAGCCCCCAGGTGGTTCTGGTGCATGCTATACAGTCTGAGACCTGATAAGAGTTCTGAACTCCGACAGCCTCCAGTGCTCACTGCTGGGAATCGCCACTCTCACGTTCCTGCCTTTTCTCGTAGATGATGCGGTTTGCCTGGCAGAGCTACAAGCGGTACGCGATGGGGAAAAACGAGCTCCGGCCCCTCACAAAAGATGGCTACGAGGGCAACATGTTCGGTGAGTGAACATCGGGGAGACCCACGCCGCCCCGGTGGCTGAGTGGAGTTTATTGTTGGTTTTTCACCTTCTGAGCTGTGTCCCTAATTCCCCATGTCTGGGTTCCTCCTGAGCTGTCCAGGCTTCTGAGCCTTCTAGTCCTGGGGCAACCCTTATGCTTCTTTAAGAAGCGCTAACCTTAAGCACTTCTTTGTATGCACTGATCACTTATTTCTTAGAGCAGACAAACTCGGACACTTCAGTGGGGACAATGAGTGATGGAGACATGTTTTTGCAGAGAAGGTTTGGAGTTCCGAAGGACACAGGACTGAGTTTAAGCCCACTCCTCCGAGTATAGCTGTAAACCGACATTGGGTGTTTTTGCAGAGAAGCTGAACACATTTCCAGTGAGATGGGCACGTGTGCAGCCTTTAGGGTGTGGCGGTGTGTCCCTCGAACACTGACCTGGTGGGTGTGCTGGGGAGCCACGCAGGTACTGCTGTGTGTCTGTAACTTGTGCTTGATCTGGGTCCCACTGCTGGTGTTCCTGACCCTTCGGCCACTGGACTCTCCTAACCCAGCACCTCGAAAGCCAGAGAGACTTCCAAGGTGCTTATTGGGGGAAGGGCCACAGATTTCAAATTGAACACCCATCCAAGTTGCCAGCTCTCCTCTGTGTAGGCCTGTCACTTGAAAAGATGCTGGAGGCAGCCTGGCCTCCTTGTTCCCTGAGAGGCAGGGGCTGTCCGGGTCTGGAAATGGACGTTCTGTACCTGTATCCCTCACTCAGTAGAGATGTAGGCTCCCGGAGGCAAGAACCAAAGAACCAAGTCAGAAAACAGGTCTCAGGAAAATCTCAAAGGCAGATTTACAAGGGACAGTCCCCACGTGGGTGGCCTTGTCAGAAGTATTTGTGTTATGGGAAAAGGGACACGGGACCTCCCTTCATCCCTCCTAACTGTCCAGTTTCACAACCTTTCTGGCTCTTCAAATAATTTATTCCCTTTGTGAGGAGGGTGTGCATGAATTTGGGTAGCTTCTTTTTTTCTCCTCTGATGATCACAGAAATGTGGGGAAATGAGAAAGTATCAAAAACGTGTACAGCAGGCAAAAAATAAGTCTTTCTACCACATAGACGCAGCCTCTGTTGACATCTTGGCTCGTTTCTGACTAATCTTTTCTTCTGCGTGCTTTTTTCCCCTTATATATACGGTTTCATGTTCTTTCTCTTTGTTTTTTGACGTACTCTTATATCATAAGTGTTTCCCTAACTCATTTGAATTTTTTCATAAAGAATGTTTTTAATGGTTGCAGTTATGGCAGGGATGTGCCATAATTCATTTAAAACCATCCACTAGCGTTGGCCGAAGGTCATTTCCAATTTTTCACTTCTAAAAATAATGCAGTAATTATCATCTTTGGGCATAAAGTGTTGCCTTAGGACAGATGCCTAGAAAGGCCTCCTGAGTCAGAATGGAGGATGACAGATGTTTTTTTTACCCTCAAACAGGAATGTGTGGATTCCAGTTTAGGAGCACAACGGCCTCACCTGCCAAGAACACTGACATCTCCCAGCAGCCCACGCCAGCGCTGGGGAAAGATGGCCGGTGTGGGTCTCAGTTGTTGGAGCTTTGGCTTCCAGTGTCAATCAGGGACAGGATCAAGGCAGCTTCTCCTCCCCTTCTCCCTAAACAGTCTGCAGATGTTCGGGGAGTTGGTGGCAGGTGGGGTGAGGCTGTTGATGTCTGACATTGCACGGCATGGGCATAGCTATTGCTCAGACTGTCATCCAGGACAGAGGGAGCACCGCTGGGAGGGACTGAGCCAAACCAAGCCCGACTTTGTAAAACTCCTCAAGTCCTGAGATGTAAATCTCAACCCCCTGCCCCTTTCTTATCAGCGAGCCTGGTGGAGAGTAGGACCCCGAAACGGTGGAAAGACACCTGGACCCTGATTCAGAAGGCCTGGGTACAAGTCCTCCCTCTGCCTTCACCTGTCCATGTGGCTGAATGCAGGTCACTTAACATCTCTAGGCCCCTGTTCATTCATCCTTCATACTGGGGCTGCTCTGAGAGTGCGCCTGAACAAGCAAGTATCTTTGAGTGATTTACAATCTCCGTTGCAGTAAATGTGGTTAGCAGTTGCCCAGGTGAGCCCATAGGGGGTTCTGAGGTCCTTCGGGTTATCTGTCTCCCAAGAATGGCCTTGGCAGGGCCCTGGGTGCCCCAACACCCAGTGCCTACAGCATTCCTGGCAGTGAGGCAGAGCCTTACTTCTGCACCCAGCAAATGAGCCGCAGTGGGCATCTGACTCCTGGGAAAGCAGGATGTGTAGGGACCCAGGCACCAGGCAAGGAGAGCTAGTCTTGATTTACTCACTTTTTCACTCAACAGATGGTTATTTGGGGCCTTGCCCAGTGCTGACTGCTAGGGACACATGGTAAATGGCACAGCAAAATCTCCACTAATGCTGCCAAGACATACACTGGCAGCCCTCCCCCAGTCTCTCTGGGACCTGTCCAGGTGCTCCTAGAGAGAGGGACGAGTGGAAAGTGGTCACAAGTGGGCATGTGACCAGTACTTCACTGGCTGTAGGTTCAGTGCCTCTGGAGCCCAGAAGACCTGGGATCAAATTCGGACTTCACAGCTTCCTGGTGTATGACCTTGGGCAAGTCATTTCTCTGTGAGCCTGAGTTTTTCTGTAAAATGGAGCAAATGAGAACATCAAACCCCTCACCTAGGGCCAGCCTGACACACAGAACCTGCTCTACAGGTAGTAGCTATGATTACTGTTACCACAAACGGGTCTTATGATACAGAGGAATGCACCAGAGGAGAGGGCTTAGGGGCATTCTAGGAATCAGGAGGAGGCTCTAGTTTGGGAAACACCCATGCAGGGCTTTGAAGCCGCGCTACTCCCAAAGACGAAAGGAGAGGAACTGGCCCGAAGTAAGCTGCTTGTCATACCACCACTTCTTTTTCTGGATTCACGTGGGCTGCTGGGCAGCATCATTCCTGGACTCCGCTGCTGCCGTCATCAGTGACCTTGCAATCAGCAGGGACCTGCAGGGAATGGTCAGGTGGCCGCAGTGCTCACCCCGTCCCACCTGGCTCAGTCGATGTGCACAGGACCCTGAGCTGCCTGCTTCCTGGTGCCCTTTGCACGCAGACTCTTACAGCTTCCTCTCCAGGCCTGCGGGGCCAGGAGGGCTGCACGTGGTGAAGGGTGAGGAGTTCATGCCGGTGCCTGGCTTTGCAGGATTTACAGGAGCTGCAGTGAGGACATCAGATGGCAGCCTGGTAGCCCTGTCGGCATATCACCAAACTGAATTCCCCTCCCAACTGGCCATGTGCCCTCCCTGAATATGTTCTCACTTTGAGAGCAACACTGCTGGGTGAGATGTCTCTCAAGCCAGTCCTTGTGTCCTAAGCAATTCAGTGTCAAAGTGGCTTTTTTTCTACCAGCATCCAGCTGAGCAGAGCCTGCTCCTCACCTGGGCCCTGGCCTCTTTCCCCTTCCTCCAAGAGATGACCAGATGGGACAGCAAATGTCCAGGTGGGTGGTGGAAAGAGCATGGACTTAGGATCCAAGTGGGCCTGAGTGAAACCTCTGTGTTGCCACTTAGCAGCTGTGAGGCTTCTGACCGCAGAGTGGGACAGAAGCTACTTCCTCCTGGACTTGTGGTGACAATTAGAAGACATGCACTGGGCCTAGCTCCATGCCAGACAGAGCTGGCACTTGATGGCAGTGTTCTTGTCACTTTTTAGGCACAGAGGGGTGTCTGCCACTTAAAGAATAGATTCCAGGAGGGGTGGCTAGAGGAACCAGCCACAGAGCAGTAAAGACCCAGCTTTCTCACTTGGAACAAGGGGCTGCTGCCAGGACATGGGGGAATTCTAAATAAGTTAGGTGGAGAGTGTGGACTCTTGGGTCCAGGTAGCTTGGATTTGCGGGCTGTTGTGCCACGTACTAGCTATGTGATCCTGGGCAAGTTTTTTAACTTCTCCGGCCCTTGGCATCCCAGCTGTGCAGTGGGGACAGCGACAGTACCTACTCACGGGGTCGTTTTGAGAACTGAATGAGTTAATACGTGAGAAATGTTCACATTCATGCCTGGCACGTAGGCAGCATCTTCATAGTCAGCTGCCCTGAGGAGGAGGGAAGGCCCTTCGGACAGTTCCTCTGGTTTTCACCCAGGCGTGCCCAAGCCCTCTGGACCCAGGCACCCACGTAAGGGCTCCAGGACTTTCCCAGCCCTGATCCCTCCTTCCCTGTTCCCCCAGCCCTTGAGTGCCTGCGGCAGAGGTTGTGGGCGGGCAGCCCACTGGTAGGCACTGTACCTCTCACCCCTTCATTTAAGCAGCTTACAGTGGAATTTTTAACAGGGGAGAGGCAAGGGAGGATCGGGGTTCAAAGCAATGAGATAAATCAGCCTCCTGCTAACAAAAGGGTTTCCGGGAGAGTGGTAAGTGACACCTCACACTGAGTGCCAGCTGCCGGCCTTGAAGCACTTAACGAGCATTAATTCTCCCAAGAAGCCAGAGCCATTTGTGAGAACTTCATCTGCCTTGGCAGTGGGAAATCCTCGCAGGGCACAGAGCGCTAGCAAGGAGGTGGCCACTAGAGAGGCCCTTGAAGGCAAGCCTGACTCCCTCATCTTAGAGTTGGGGAAATGAAGCTCAGAGAGGGGAAGGGACTTGCCCAAGGTGACACCGACATTGTCCAAGGCCAGATTGTTGAAACACAGACCTATGGTCATGGCCAAATCACCACCATGAATGAAGCATTCTCCAAGCTTTTGCAGGAGCAAACTGTGGGGAAGTATATGATTTGGGGGCCAGGACTCTCCTGTTCCCTGCAAATGTGTCACACCAGGCACTGTTGCTGTACTCTCTTGTATTCTTCTAACAGCCCTTACCTATCTCATCCCCATTTCACAGATGAGGATCCTGAAACTTGGTGAGTTTCGGGACTTGCTTTGTTGCAGTTATCAAGCAGAGACTCCAAAACCCAATTTATCA